TGGGTGCTTTTGTTCTTTTTCTAAACTCAAATTTAGAATTCCACGACGATTGAACACTTGAGATATTAAAAAAGGGTTAATCTCATTCATTAACAAGAAAAGAAACAAATTAAGGCATGAAAATGTGAAGTATTTTAAATTTATTATCTTCGTCAATATTAAAACGATTATTTGATTATGAAATCGTTTTATTTTTTTTGCAAGCTTTTGTGAATATTTTGAATTTTTACGTTTCTTTTGAGCGAATAATATATCAAATTTTACGTGAGCATCGCTCTTCGCAACAATTACGAATGTTCCATTAAGCAAACGGAGTTCTTCTTTTGTTTCAGCAGCAATCGAGTTATCACGGCAAATGCTAAATACCCGCATTTGAATTCGCGTCTCGCCGAGACGAGAGAGCAATTAAAAAAGCGATTTTGCACTTCAGAGCGACTGCTCGGAAGGGACTCGTTTAAATGCGCAATTACTGCGACCCTAATTGCAATTACGCGAGTGCAACGCACCATAATTCCTGAAAAAAATTCATTTCATCTTGATAATTAATTCCTCTGGGAACGCAACCGTCTCTCCTTTTCCGAAAATCTTCTCCTTTTTTATATGAAATTAGAGTGACACTGATATTAATATAAATAATTCGATTGTAGGCCAGATGCATTTCAGAAGAAAAATGGACGCGTCCTTTCAGCGCAAGATGAATAGTCGTGTCCGTTCGCGACCCTCCTCAAAAGATGATCCTCAGCATGCAGTAAGAGCTGTTCTTCTTTTTTTGCTCGGGGTGGAAAGAGTTACACACAAAAATATATATCTCTCTTTCTTCTCGTCCAGCAGAAGCGGCCACGATTAATTTCAATGAAAGGAGCGTCTCTTAAATCATCGCGACCCCGAAAAGGCACTCGCTCCCCCCCCCCCCCCCACTAATAGCTGTCAACCGACGAATGTCCTAAATTGCTGATGTCGTCCCTCACCAAAACCGAGGGGCAAACCTACGATGCGTGCCTCCAATGATGATAGCAACAATCGTCCGACAGCCAGAAAAAGGATCCGCGTCTCTTTCAAATCAAACCAAGCTTTTTTCTACACCAAAATTATGGGAAGATTTTTTCAGTGTAAAAAGATAAGAAATTAAGTATTTTTTAAATAAAACCATTTTTTTTCTCACTTTGGCGCGTTTTTCTCACAGGCAAATGACGTCAGTGACTTGCAAATATTATTCTTGAATTTACGTTTGTAGCAGAGTTTTTCAGGGCAAACACGGGCGTACTTTGCGATCGAAGCGCTAATAATTGAGACACGCGTCAATTTGTCACGGCGGCGGTGCGATATTGACATTTTCCCGCTTGTTGACTTTTAATTATGCACAACGCCTCGTCTCGCTGATAAATGGCGCTTTCTTCTTCTTCTTCTTCTTCTTCTCGGGAATTAATTCTCGTCGGGGCTAATCTCGAGTGCACACACTCGGTGGCGCTGCAGCTGGCGCGCGGATTATGAATATAAGGGCTGCAGCTAATTGAGAGACAGACACACTGAGCAAACACAAATCGCACAATTATTGGTGCCACCAGCGTCTTCTGATATTGCTTCAGCCAGTGGCGTGCCAACCTCGATAATTATTCCATTGTTGCGAACAAGGAAAATTACAAAAAAATGTTTGTTATCATAAAAGTTGTTCAATTTCAACTGTTTTTTCTTTTAAATTCCCACTTTTCAAGGTCTAGGTTGCTCAAAATCAAGATTTTAATTTAATTTCAAGCCAAAAATAAAAGTAGTTTGTCAATCAAAATCGGAGCTATTTTTCAATTGAATTTTCATTTCGTGTAAATTTCGACTTCAAAATAGTTTGTCTTGTTTGACGTTGTTTTTTGCTGTGCTACTCTCGATATCCTGAGAACTCGGAGCTCAGTCAAAGCCGGGCGCGTGGCGCCCCTTTGAAGCCTCGTGGCCTTATTACGTCTTCAAAGCTGCAGTGACGAATGGGCTGCTGGCTCCAGTGACGTCGCGGCTTTGGCTCCGACCGACTCATCCGCGTGTGCATCCCTTTGAATAAAAATGGCACCAATTCCAGGGACAAAAAAATGCAGCGATGGAAAACTAATAACTTGCCCAAGTCAGTGCAGTTTTTTACAATCACGACTTGGCATTTCAACTTTAAATTCAATTCCATGTGCTCGGCATTAATTTTCCATTTTATTATTTTTTTTTAACAACTTAAAACAAAGAAACCAAGCCTAATTTGAAAAATAATGGAGGAAAAAATCTGACAAAAGTTTTTGATTAAAAAACAGATTTTGTAAAATGAGTTCATAGTTTACCGAAATTTTATAGAATAATTTTTTCTGTTTACAAAATTGCTGTTTATAAACAAAAACATTTAGTTCAGAAGATTGTTTTCACTGCAAAAACAAAACACATTTCACAATAAAAAAAGCAACAGTTTGCATTTTTTAATAATTTTGAAATTTTTCCACGAAAAATCTTGATTGCAATTTTCTTTACAAAAAAATATCAAATTTGGCTTGGTTTATTTCATTCTAATTTTTTGCTCTAATAAGCAGCAATTTTGAATTTGAGTAAAATCGGTCAGAATTATATCTACGCGGGCGACAAAGTAGGAAAATCGAAGTAATCGGTTGAGTGCGATGGCGGGAAATTGTCACTTAATCAACGTGTCACGTGTCAATATGTCGCGCAAATTCAATCAGCGCGAGAGACAACAATTTCACGCGCCGCCGCACCGAAAACAAAATCTGCATGATTTATGTCTCATTTTTTCTCTGCACATTTTCCAAGGAAAGCACCTAGATCGGTTGCTCGCGAATTGCTGGAGCGTGAAAGCGGCTTCAGCCATTTCTGCTTTTCCAGCAAAGAAAGCAAAGAAAAAAAGAAAGCAGGTTTAATGTCGTTACCAGCGGCAACCCTTTCCCTGCGGCCTGAGGGCGCGCTTGTTTTCCTTTATTTTTATATATTTATATTTGCTGTTCCGCGCGACACGACTTGGCTCTCTTTTGTGCATTCAAAGACGACACAGAGAGCATTTAAATTGGCCCCTGGCACTTTCTTTTGACACGCTTTCCTTCTCAATACAACATTCAAAAATTGCAAGAGGATTTTATTTTCCCAAAAAGGAATTTTTTTTCCAAAAGGACTTCAAAGAAATTAAATTCATTAGAATTTTAAATGAAATTTTCCAGATTATCAAGAAAATTTTTGTGTTTTTGAGGTTTGGCAAAGTAAAATGAACACTTATTTGGATGAAGCTTGAATGACTTTTCTCAGGTTGTGTTTGCGCGTGAAATTTATTCGAGTCGCGTCTCGCAGCCGAGAGCTGAAAACAATAATCGATAATGCTGGTTCGGCGGTTGCTTTCTTTGCACAAAGGTGGAAGCTGCGACTCCGACTCAGAGGGAAAGAAAGAAAATGTAATCTAGGCGTGAAATAAAAAATGATTCGCGCTCGCCGAGTGATGAATGAATGAAGCGGCTTTCGAGCAAGAAGGATGAAGCGGCCGAGGCGTTGAGACAGCGCGTGTGCCGCCATTTACGGGCCAATTTCGGGCCCCCGAGAGTGATGTATGATCTTCTCTGTTACTTTATTGCTGCGCCCGCCCGCTCGCTTATTAAAAATTTCAAACCTCGCGCGCGCCTCCTAATTACACGCACGCTTGTCTAGCTTCCGATGAGAAATTGCCACTTTTCCCATTTCAATTTGCAGCGAGAAAAAAATTGAAAAATACGTTTAATTTCTTCATTTCTGTTTAGAATGTTCTTCACTCCAAAGAAATACCAAGTTAAATTCTTTACGGATTGAAATAATTTCACTTGAAAATTTCAAATTATATAAAATCATCATTTTTTGGACAAATAATGCAAATTTGTTAAAACCAACGTTTAAATCCATCTTATTATAAAAAAAAAACATTTATTGGCGTAAGTTTTCAAACGTGTTTTTTGGCAGGGTCATCCAATCTTCACCATAGCAAGAAGTTTCTCAAAAATGTTTAGTTTTACCTCATTATTCTTGAAATTAAATTTGTTTTACGGGACACTCAAAATTGGATTTTTGTAAAAAAGGCTTTATTTCGGCTTCCGGTGGTCGTAGAACAAAATCCCGGGAACGCTTGAATTTGTCTCGTTGCCCTCTACACCTTTAATCTTGGAAGCAAAATCGTAGGTCAAAGTTTGAGGTCACTTCCAGTGATCTTGTGACCTTTGACTTCAAAATTGAAGGTTATTCCTCAATTAAACTTCAATTCTGAAATAGCCATTTTGTAGAGCGTGAAAGTTTACCTCATGATAGTGAATGAACTGACTGGCTTTTTCCTTAATTAAATTAATAAAAAAATTAAAAGAGCAAAAACGTGTTTTTTCAAGCTTTTTTTCTGGGTATTTGAGCCTCTGTAAATTTTTCCCTGAGCACGATAGCCCAAAGTACCTAATGACAAAAAGTGATCAACTTGGCAAGACCTAACTAAAAACGTATTACACGTAGTGAAAAGATAATTGACCTCGGTGACCTTTGACCTTTATAAGACTTTTCACTAAATGTGACACATCGTTTGAAAGAGGACATCTAAGGGGTCATTTTGGTATTGGGAAATTTGTTCTAGCACCGATATAAGCAGATTTATCAAAGTTTTACTTGATTTAAATTTAATTTTTCCGTCTTTTTGTAAAAAGGCTTGATAAAATTTTTTGTTTCTGTAAAATTATATAAAAAGATTCTACAAATATAGCTAAAAAATTACTCTGGAGTCTAATTTTTAATATGACTTTGAACACGCGTTCCGGTTCAATTAGCCGAGGGCAGTTTCAATAATTGCGCTTGTTAATGGGATTCGTTGCGATATCGAAATAATTAATAGTTTCCAGTTAGTTTGATTGGCCGCGTTGGTGCAGCGAGACATCACCGCAATGTTCGCATATAATTATTTCACTTTGATTGGAAATTGGCGTGTGCGGGGGAAAAACTGAAATTGGTTGTAAAACGAGAGATCGACTCACCACTGGACGGAGTTGAGGACGGCGGGGTTGGCGTCGAATTGACAAAAGAGCAGCACGTCCGTTGATTCGTTCACAGTCACATTTTCAGGGCTGACAAACACAGATGGCGGGTCTGGAATTAAACGAGAGAGAGAAAACCAGTGTTAAAATAATGCTTTTCACGCGCGCGGGCCGCGCCAAATTATTTCACGCGCACATGCTAAGTGGACGCTTTTCATTTTGCCAGCAGCGTCGTGAAAAGGCAAAAACAAGCTTTGTCTTTTCAACGCGACGAATAAATGAACCAACTTTGAATCCAAAGTCGCAGATTAAAAGCAAAGTGGAATCGTGTTGAAAATCTCGTTCGCTATTGAGATTTAAATAAATTAAATGTTTGGAAATGTTGGCCAGTCGAGCCAGAGAGTGAAAATACATTGGAAAAGGTTTTTTATTCAATAAAATTGTATAAAACTGAAATGGAAAAAATATTTTAATCGAACTTATTGAAAAAACTTTAAATTCAATAATTCTTTTTAATATTTTTAATAAAACGGACTGAATTCCTTAAAAAAAGGCTGATTCTCCAAACACGAGAATAATTTTTTGTTAAAAAAGCGAATAATTTATTTTAAAAAAGCAATCCATGTTTATTCTTTACATAACTTTATTTCCGAGTTTAACAAGCTAAGGAGAAACCATTTTAAAAATAATTTAGATTTTAAAGTAACGTTTAAACAACTGAAAATGTTCAATTTTAAGTAAATATAAGTTACAAATTAGAAATTGAGGCTTTTTTTCAATATATTTTGTTCAAATTGAGTAGGGTTTTTTTGTACTCTATTAAAGAGTTTCGTCTACTATTTTAAGAGTAATTTATAGAAGCCTCAAGAGATCTTGATATTATAGAAATAAACGATTGAAAAGTAAAAAATCGGAGTTCATAGACCTTTAAGAGCCTGCAAAATCCCCTCTTGGTCTTTGTTTGTAAGCCTCTGAACAATTTCTACATTTCACAAAGTTGTATAATTTTTGTAACTCGTCGAGCTTATTAAATTTTCCAAGTAGCACCTCGCGAGCAGCTTCAGACATTCAGAAAGTTGCTTTTGTAAACAAGACTGAAAGTTTTGTGCTGCGCGCAAATTTGCAGGATGTGTGCCGCCGAACTTACTTTTCATTGTTACAACGTTCGCTGCAAGTTTTATGCACGCGTCTCTGGAATATAACAAGGAAAAGGAAATAAATAAATATCATGGCGTGCGCGGAAGCCACTTATTTAGATTGCAATTCCGCCGCGTTGTTTGTCCTCTGCATTTTCATTTTCGCACAAAGGCAAAAAATGGAAAAAAAGGAGGTTTTCTTTTCGCTCCGGCACGTAATTTTATTTGCCCAGGTCGGATAGAAGAAAAATTGCCCCCACCTTTTCGCATAAATAAATCCATCTCTGGCGCGAACCCAGATCAAGAATTGAAATGATTTATTTTACATCCCGAGAGTTGGAAAATGACGGATCGCGCGGGGCGAAAAGCAGCGCATCATAACGCGGCGAATTAGGCAAGCCAGTCACGTGTCTGCAGCTGCAAAAATCAATGTTTTTGTGCGAGAGTGGAAGAGTTGGAATCGCCTGCTATGCGGCACTTGGCTCGCAAAAATCAGACTCAGCGTTTTGATAATTGTTTCGGTAAATAGGCCGCTAACATTCCAGCACCCTCCCCTTCTCTCCCCGACCCCCAGCACAAAACACAAAACTTGTTTGTTGGTTTTGGGCCATTTTCGATTCAGTTCGATTCAACAACAGAAATTATGAGCCAAATCACGGAAATCTGCAAATAAATAATAATAAACAGAAAAATTAGTGGAAAAACTTGATCACAATTTTCATCCCTTAAAAATCATCAGGAATTTGAAAATAATTCATGTGAAAAATCGCAATTGCTGTGATTGAAACGATTTTTAGAATAATTATTTTTTATAAGGATTGTTTTTCCAGTTAAATTTCTGAAAATTGAAGATTAATATAATTAAAGTAATATTAATAACAAAAATTAAATATTTATTTATTTTAAATTGAAATAATTGTGATTGAATCGGTTATTGGAGGATTAATTTACACAGAAAAATTATTTTCAAATAAAAGTTTGATACTTTTTCAAATTTAAATATTAAATACAAAAAAGAATGAAAAATTTTTGTTCTTGCGTATTATTTCAATGTTTGCAACGTTTCGTCGTTTTAAATTGCTCCATTCATCATGCGGTGGGGCGTGTGCAGGACTGCTTTTGAGCCTTTTGCTTTCGGCCCAGTGAACAGCGCGACAAGTCCTTGCGGGCCAACACATGAATTCTCAGGGCGGAATTATTGAATTCAGTGAGCACGCGAGCGGCTCCAAAGTTTGCTTTTCGCAATATAATGAATAGGAAGGGCGACAATGAAGCCTCATTTGTTACCCCGCCTGAGATAGATTTTGACGTCCAATTTCACAGCTGCATCGAATCCGCGCGAGACACCGACAAATAATCGCATTACCTCCGCCTCTTGCGCGGCACCATCTTCATCACATCACAATCCACTCCTATGCAAAGAGCCAAACAAAGATCGGCTCGCAGAAGCAATAAGGATTTTTAACTTCCATATTCATGTGCATGGTGGATTCAAACACAATATCGAATTTTAACGAAATTTAGAGGGAGGAAAATCATATAGAAATAGCTATATTTACAAATTGTTTCCGAAATTTGGCGTCCATTGCGGAACTTTACCGAAAGCCCTTGAGCTAAAGTTGGAAGTAACGCTTGAAGAAAAAAGAAAAAGGGATTAAAAAGTTTATTCTTTTAATTTTGATTCACATTTTTCCTTGATTCATAAATTTTATCCTAATCTCAAATTGAATAATTGATATAATTGGAAGAATTTGAATTTTTGTGAATAAATTTTTTTTTTTTTAATTTCGTTTAAATTTACTAACAGATAACTAAATAAAACTAAAATTTATGTAAAATAAATAAAAATGCCTTGTTTTGAAGCCAGATGTGTCAAACTTATCTTGCGTTTGAAAGCGATTTTTGAACTCTTTTCCTCATCAATTCGCAATTTAGTTGGTTTGATTTGCAATCTCCGTGAATGGGCTTTGGTGCCGGATTTGGTGCGCGCGCGTCTCTCTTTCTCTGCTTAAGCTCGTTAGTCGCGCAGACACACAAAACTAAGCTGGCGAGAGACGAATGCGAAAAGTCTCGCGGGGACTTGTAAAAGCCACTTAAAAAGTTGGCCTAGACGCGCAAAAATGAAAAAGGTGGCGCCGGCTCGTTTTTCCGCGCGAAACAAATGAACACAATGCGCGCGCATATTTATCACCCCGCAGCAAAGTTCACGGCAGCGGTTTTCGCACGGGGATATTAATCTCGGTGTCGACCACTCTGCAAATTAGCTCCAAGATCGAGAGAGATGAAAAGAGAGGTGCGGCGGAAAATGCGCCGATTCGAGTGAAAGAAACGGACTCGGCTGCCTGCTTTGCATTGATAAAATCATCGCGCAGGTTTGCCAGCGAAACTTTTAATTCCATTAATCTCTGCGAAATAATCTTCTTGAAAGGTTCCGCCTGCGCTGGGAAAGAAAACGGAAAGTGCGAGGAAAAGAATTCTCTTGCGACTCGAATCAATTTAATTTGCAAGTAAAAATCAGATCCTTTGATTGCAGGGTTCACGATTTTTCTTCAAAAGTTATAAAGATTATTAATTTTTGTATTACTGAATATGAAAGAAGTTTTATAGAGAAAGAAGAAATTGTTAAAACATTCCGACAGAAATAAAAGTAAATTAAAATTGCTTTTCACTTTAGTTAATGCAGAGTGAATTTAAAGTAAAGACCTTGAGGCGATTTATTTCCTTTGAAAAATAATTAACCCTCGTCTTGGAGATAATTGAAAGTTGATTGTAGTCGGAGAGGGTCTTTGTTTACCGCTCATTGCGCCAAAGAGGGTAATTTGGCCGTAATTTAGGGCCATTATTGCAACTGATAAAGGGGTCGTAACGCGGCAATAAATCGGTCCGCAAAGATGCTCGCCCGAGATAATTTCCTTCGCTGCCGCTTTTTCTTTCCGGGGGGGTTTTGGCAAAGAATAAAGGGAGGCAGGGAGAGGGAGCAGGTGAAAGGAGGGAAATAATCCGCGTCGTCGCTTGTATAAGTAATGAAGTCTGCTGTTGAGAGTGAAACAATTGTTAATGCGGTCTGAATGGAGGAGCAGATACTTTGTCAAAGTGTCACATGCATAGAATTATCATAATGTCAGCGCGCCCAAGATTTATAAGCAAAAAAGGACGCCGCGCGTAATTTATTTCGCACCCCGCGCGGCTCAAATGGATTTCGATTTGATTAGTTGGCACAGAACAATGGCCAAATCTTTATTCACTCTAATTACCCTTTCTCGGTGCACATAAATTCCGCCGCTTGCCAAAACAGGGCTCGTTGCGAATTCCGGTCAAGGATTTGCAAATCGACTTTTAAACAGGCAAATAAAATATAACCCACTTCAAGTAGGGCTCACAATTTTTTAAAAAGCTAATGCTAGCGTTTATATTAAGATGTAAAACCACCTCAGGGCAGAACAATCTCAAAAAAAAGTTACAGTTTAGGCCATAAGGATCATTTTTACAAGCGGAAAATTGTGGTTCACAGCGTAAATTTTTGAGAAAAGGTCCATTGAAGGTTGAAAAAAAACGTAGTTCTTTACATTTTTCTACTTTCTGAGAAAATTAAGCAAATTTTTTGAGCTTTTTAAATAAATTGAGTTATGCAAACAAACATCAAGATAATTTTATAATACCCAATTATTGAAAAATGTTTTACTTATCAAATTCCAAAATGGCCTCCAGAATTTAAGGTTTACTAAAACTGCTGTTAATTTAATTTGGGTAAAGAAAAATGGAATGAAATAATCTCTTTCCACGAGTTTTAAATTAGAAATAGAGGTTTCTTCAACATAATTCAGTCAAATTGATATTAAGTTTCAATGGGTGGGTCAGAATATGAGAGAATCGATTCTTGCAGCGATTCTCAAGAGGTGATTCTCAAAGAGGGATTCTCTCATATTTGAACCCACCCAATGTAATACAATAAAAATGAAGAATTTGAAGCCAAAAAATGAAGCAGGAGTTTTGATCTATTGTAGCAAAACTCTCCACAGAATAAAATCCATGAGTTAACATAAATTATCTTTGATAACATTTGAAGTTAAAAAGCTGCAAGGATGATCACAATTTAAATTTACTTATTGTTTTTTTCAAATGTTGGAAAAATTGTCAAAATTTTGAGCAATTTTAAACATTTGAAACAAAAATAACCGAAAAATTCCACTTTTTGTGTAAACATTTGTTTTACTTTTGCTCAACAAACCAGATTGTATGACGTTGTAATAAGCAAATTTTGACAGCGAGCAGGCGCGGAAGGCACTTAACAAACAAATCCCAGCCGGGCCGTAACTCGCCGAGCTGCAAATTGGACGGACGAGGCCTTGCTGCAGTCGTAAAGTTAAACGCACGCAATAAAACACGGCGCTGCACATACTTTTAATTGATCTTATTTTGCGCCGGACAAGGCACAAAGCGTAGGGTTGCTTCTTCCCCCTTCTGCAGCCCCTTGTAATCTTGTCCTTCTGCACTTAGCAAACTCCATCGGTCGGCCTAGCCCGGCCCGGCCACGCCAGGTGAGGCCGTTTGGGATCAAAAGTAGCAAGAAACTTTTGATGCCAAATTACATGGACGGATTTCACCCTCGCTTTTGTCGCGCTGTTTTGTTTACGCTTCATTTGCATGTCGGGGGCAACGAGCAAGGGTCTCTTTGTGGCCGCCCAAATAATGGCCTCGGGTCAAATTTCCATTTTTAGAATTTTCACAAATCGACCAACGAATGAAACGGCAATTTCATTTGGCTTTGTTGAGCTTTTTATTGTTGATGTCGTTGTTGATGAGAATGTAGCCGTAAATGGAGTTGAGCGAGTTTGCCGACAGGTACGTAAACAATAAAGAGCGATAATAATAAAATGCTCCCTTTTTCTCTCGCGCGCCACTGCAATTTATTTGCCAGCCATTCCAGAGCGGCGGCGGCGGCGTCAAGAGTATCTTACTTAGTTTTAGTTCTTTTTGTGTCGCGAGTTAGACAGGCTAGGTACACGTCTAATCAAAAGTTGCGAAACAAAAGACGCAGGAAATAACAAAGAAGGCGAAGAAGAGACGCTGAAAGTCGTAAAAGCTCGTCTCGATTTTCTATGGAGATCTTTTAGGGAGATGCGCGTTTTTTACAAAAAGAATGAGCAAAATCTTCTCTGGATATTCCTTTTTTACATTATTCTCAATAAACCAAGTTTCATTAGTTGAAAAATTTAAATATTTAAATTAATATGTATTTTTGTTGTATTTATACACATTTGGAAAATGCAACAAAGTTTTTTTTTCAAATATCCTTTTTCATTTATAAGTGACTTATTGCAAATTGTAAAGGTGCCGTGAAAATTAGAATATATAAATAAAAGTTAAAACTGACTTTCAGTAATTTAGAAATTTGGTATCTAACAAAGACATTTCTTGCTTCAAAACACCTGATAAAATTTGAGCCTTTTATTACCAGTTACGACCAATTTCATTCAGAAACTCATTCTGACAATAGATCTGTTCAAATTGTGTCATTTTGATTTAAATATATTTGATTCTCGGTAATATTTGTAAAAAAAATAATACTTTTTCATTACATTAGCTTGTCTTCATTGAGAAACATTAAGCTCTCAAGATAATTAAAATACAAAATAGAGTTAAAATTGTATCCACAATTAATTATTATTTTATATGATTAAAAAATTACTAAAAAATTAAGTTCTTCAAAAGTTTCAAAACAATTTAAGGTGATAAAATTTACATTAAAATTGTCTTTTTTACTAGAATTTATCAAGTTTTGAAACTTTTAAGCAAAGAATCTTTCCCTTTTTTTATGTTTGATAAGTTTTGAAGAGAAAAACTAATAAAAAGTGAAGAACTGCAGTTCTCCCTTCAACATCTGCGGATCGGTGCCGTTTGCAGAACCCTCTGGTGCACGAAGAATCGTTTAAACAATTTCCGCGGCACCCGACACGACCGAAATAAAAATAATCATAATAACAAAGCCGCCGCTCGTGTGCTCGGAATAAAGTGTTGTTATTCATTTTTATTGTTATTCCGTGACGATGCCATCCGTTTTAAAGCACTCGACACACAACGCGCGGATTCCACAATGTTCGAAACATTAAACAGCGCGGCGATAAATTTCGGAAATGAAAAACGCGCGGTTCAAAATGCGCATCGCTCCGGACGGATTTCCTTTTCCAAAGCAAACGGATCGAAAGAAACAAATTTCTTGAGAATACATTTGCGTCCATAATTCAAAGGAAAGATTTTATAACAAATTTATGCATCTCGGATTTGATATTGGATCAACCGTTGTTTTATTGCATTTGTCGCAACCTCTTTCGACTTCATCATCTTTCTCTCTCTCGAAAATAAAGAACTCTCTTTTTATTCTCCCGAAGAGACGGAGAAAAAGTTTGCCCTATAAAAATAAAAGACTGTCCGTGTGTTTCCGGCTCTTCGGACACACGCTAAATATATATAAATTTGCTGGCCAAGGAAAAGTTTAGCAACATTTGCGCAATTAGAGAGAAACTTTTTACGAGTTGGCGCAACAAACAAGCCGAAAAAGATTTGAAAAAAAACGACCAACATTTGCATGAGTTGCTCAGACATAATTACTCGTCTCAATTATTCATAGCGAAATAATAAAATTATTTGGCAACTCTTTTGTTCCATATTTTTTACTGCTTTCCGACGGAATTTCTAATTAACTCGGACTTAGCATGGCCTAATCGAAAAAGGAAAATAGTTTTGCACTCACAAAGAACCTCCAAGGTGACTGTGTCCTTGAGGGGCCGCTCCTTTTGCTCAACGAGGACCGGGTTGGTCGCCTCGCAGGTCAAAGTCTCGCCGTTTTCGTGCCGCGTCGCTTTGAACCGCAACTCGCTCTGCGTTTCGTAAGTTCCGTCCGACTGAAATAAAACTAAAATTAGCCAAAAATATCTAATTTAAATTAAAAAAATTATGAGCTTTTTTACAGCTGCCATGATTTCCACTGATAAAAATTAAGATTTCGATTAAATAAGAAGCAAACAATGTCACTTGAATCCATTAAATTATTCAAAGGGTTAAATTTTTACTTGGAGGTTTGAAAAATTCATGAATTTGTAAAATTCTTGTAATTTAAAACTGTGTGGATTAAGTTTTACCAAAATTCTTGCTAGTGGTGGTGCCGATTTGTCTAACAAATAAATTTTTTCCAACAATTGATTGTAACAATAATTTTAAAAAAATGCTTTCAGATAAGAAATAAATTGTAATACTAAAATAATTTTGTTATTTTACCAAACGCAATTAATTTTTGCTCAAATGTGTCAAAAAGAATACAATTAAATATAAATTTTCAAAATAAATTAATAAAAACTCCATTCTTGCAATGAAATATTTACAAAGAAACATGCAAACTAGTGAAGATTTTTTAATGATGAAAAGATCATACAAAGAACCAGCAGTTTTAAGTTTTCGCAAAGGGGTGACATTTTACAAAGGCATATTTAATTGGATGCAACAAACTGCATAGTTGCAGGGGTGCTTATTTTTATCTCCGCGGCTTATCTGCAGTTGAAAGGAAACTGCGCTAGCTTTTAAGCCGTTGAAGGCGAATAAAAAATTAATGCCGAGTGGCAAAAAAATGTGTACGCGAGTCGGGCGAGCTCCATTAGTTGAACAAGTTTATGCAACGGGGGCCGCGTTTTTTCACCCTCGTATCGTAGAGACCGGCAAGGGTGAGCATTCATTATGCAAAAGGCGGCGGCCCGTCAAATAAAATATTATGCGAATGTGGTCCTGCTCGGCTCATTTGAATTCCAACCCGCATTTCGACTGCATATTGATAGCGAATTATAAACTTCTGTGCAGAATTTTCGAAATTTTTCTAAAATACAAACTTCGGTCAGTAATTTTAGACTTTCTGCAGAAATTTTTGCATATTTTCTCGAATAAAAAAAATCTGCACAGTAAAGAAAGAGTAATACAGGTAATTTATTTTCAATTCTGATAGTGAAAGAAGGCCAAATTTCATGACCAAATAAGAAATCACGATTGGAAATTTCACATCCTTCAGCATTTAAGACCATTCATCAGGTTTTGGCGCCAAAAGCATTTGAACCTCGTTGGGCAGTCTTCAAGAATTTAGAATCTTAGGAATCAGGACTAAATTCCCTTGAGATTCAAATTCTTTTGGCGGGAAAATTTGAATCTCAAAAGAATCCCTGATTTGAAGCTTTTAGTGGAGAGAATTATTTGATGGCGATTTCAACATTGGTCATGAAATTTGATATTTATTCACATTAAGGAATAATAAAAAAAAAAAAATACACTTTCCCCTCTTCAAACCGATTTTAAACACTTTTGTTTCATTTTAACTAGAAAAATATTTACTCAACACATGTTTTCTATTGTCCAAGCAATAATATTACCATTTTGCATGTTCTGCTTTAACCAGAGGGACCGAAAAGGAGATGCAAGTTGATGTTTGGTATATAAAGGGGGGGGGGGGAAGGGAGCTATTATTTTGCACCGTCTAATATCACACATCAGTGGAGGGAATGATGATTATAGCGGCGGCGACATTTGTGAAGCGGAGCAAAACTCCTTGCTCGGCCTCCGATAATACCAGCGCGCGGTTATTGTCGCTCTCGCACATAATGGAATACACAAACGATTAGGGCGGAATAATCAGATTAAATTTATGGCCGCGCCGAGACAAAGACTGAAAGACACGCGTCTACCTGCGGCAATAATTGTTGCCGCCCGCTTTATAATTCCGTCGCAACGCTAATTGAATTCGTGTCTCTGCCATTTCCCCCGACTCGTTTGGTTCGTCATGCATTTTTCTCACAGTGGAATTGGCCCCGGGAAATCCGGATCGACGCAATTTATTCTAATCCACCAAAACTCACCAGAGCGAGAATTTATCATTTATGGCCAAATGAATTAATTTATTTGAATTTATATACAAATCCTGCGCATTTCACCAAATTAATTTCTGGCAAAATTTGTTGCGAGTTAAACTGATTGATAAAGAGATCAGCCGAATTATTAATTTTTTTAATAAAAAAGAAAACACTTTTAAAATAAAGGCTCAAATATCTCAAAAACTGGCTTTCTTAATATCTGATTTGGTGATTTTGAGTCTTCTTGTTTAGATTTTATTAAAATTTGACAGAAAATATGAAACATTTTCAACCTCTCACCGCTTTTAAAGTTTTTTCCATTGCTCATTGCTGAAAATTTGATGGATATAGAATGTTCAAAATTAATATTTCAATAATTTTCAGTTAAAATTTTGTTATAACCTTTTTCAAAAGATCTTTTTCCTTTTTTTTTTTTTGAATAAAAGAAATCTACAGTTTCGGGTGATTTTCTCTCTCTTGAAGATTTTTGAAAAGAAACGTTTTTGAAAGAAGCCTTGAGATGAGAAAGGATTCCGTCACTCTGCAAGAAAAGTTAATAGGCGCAGTAATTAGAATCGTAAATCACAAGGCGGCGCCAATTATATGCGAAATGCTCGGAGGCTCCTCTCGTAAATCAAAGCGCGCCCTCTGGCCGGGCGGCAAAAATGGCGGCGAGGAAATATCGCCGGCGAAATGAAGACGTAACTCGAGATTATTGAAGATGGATGAATAAAAAGCCGGCCGGGCTGATGTATTCCGACGCTTCTTTTTTTTGGCACACCTTGGCGCGAAGAATGTGCTGCGCGCAGGAATTCGAGGGTCGCTTCCGCGAGATTGAACTTGTAAATCTTCTCCAGAGCTGCCGCTTTTTCATCTCCAGAATTACCCTCTCGCATTCATACCTCCTGATTTACACCCTGATCGTCTTTGAAACTTAACACGCAAAGAAAACTCAATTTTTTATGTTAAGATAAAGAAAGTGTTCAGGCGAAGAATGTTGAGTTGAAAAACATAAAAAAAAAATGGAGAATATTATTCTAGAATTAATGGAAACGTTTCAATTTTCATTAGGTAAATAAACAAATATATTTTTGAGCGACATTAAATTATAGACGAAAAAATGGCACCTTTTTATTTGGGTAGTTTTCGCAGGGGAGTTGCGCTGGCGAAAGAACAATTCGGCGTCAACGCTTTTCATCGGTCCAATTTATTTATTATTGACACTTGGGGCGAGTTTGAGAGCAGGTGGATGGACGGACGAGCGAAATCTCGACGGACTCGCCGCTTTTTTTATACAACGCATTGACAGCAGGTGGGCGGAAGAAGATGATGGATCGGCCAACTTTTGGCGCCCGAAATTTAATGCAGCGAAAAGTTTCAAACGGCAAAAGTATACGTCAGAGAGGGAAGAATGTATTTTATTTAATTCAGCAGAACTATCCGGAATTTAATTAGTCTGGGGTGCAAAATAATTGTTTTATTTAATCAGGAACTGGGTCAACTCGATATTATTAAATAAAATCCGGTCGTAAAACGGAGAATATTCGCCAGAGCCAAGTTTCAAGTTTATTTAATTCCTCTCTCGGCCTTTTATTTCCCGTTAAAAGAGAGAGAGAGAGTTTCTTTCTTTTTGCAGCGCCGTGCTCATTTAAGGCCTGCATGGTTGTAACTGTCGCTGGTGTTGCTCCTCGATTTATGGCTTTCGCAATGAGCAAAAGTCCCACCAACGAATCCTCTCGAGTTTTTATCCTCTGGTCAGCGGGGACGCCAAGAAAGAGACGCCGCCGCTTGACCCACACCGCTTTTTGCTTTTAAAAGGGAACTTTTGCTGGCCCGGCCCGGCCCGACAAGCGGCCAAATTTATCGTTTGCGCCAACACATTCAAAACTGTTCTCCTTTGTCGCCGCCAATTACAATTTCCGCTAAATGATAAAAAAGCCAACAATTTATGATTCAAAATACAGAATATTTACGTTTTTTTAATCTCTTGAATGAATAATGTGAAAAAATTAAACGAATTAATGCATTATTTATGCAAATAATTCTTGAATTTTATATAAACAACTTTAAAAAACCCATTTTGATTTTTTTTTTAAATTCTTTTTACGAAAAAATTTCAGCCTGATCAAATGTGATATTTTTCTACAATTTTGTTTACCTCCAGAATATGACCTCCGAATCATTTCACCTCTCAGGGTTGAAGTGGAGGTAAAAAGGAATTTTTTGTGCCAGCTGAATTCTTATATCTCAATAAGAACCCAAGAATTCACTTTTTAAGTTTTTCCGCAAAATGTTTTTGACTCTTTTTCAGTTTTTTCCACGCTAAACTCTGACAAATTATCTTAAATTTTCACCCAATTTTTAAAAAAAGAAAACCACCAACCTGCGCGTAATGGCTTAAAAGGTGTCAATAAATTGTACTTAAACTGAGTAAAATTTAATTTAAGTCGATTTTTCTCAAAAAAAAAAAAAAAAAAAAAAAACTAACAAAAAGCAACAAATGAAATCTTTTGGTTTAAAAAGCGAGTCTTTGAATTGAATAGATAATTAAATGAACTAATTATGTAATAATTGATCTTTCCCTTTTGACTATTATTTCCAATAATATTTTTAAAATGAAAAACTGAAGTGAATTTTGGAGCTTGAAATGGTTCCCGTTGCTTGTCGTGCGGGCGGCGCATTAAATAGTTAATGTGGACGCGGCGGCGACAGTGGGAAAAAGGAAACAAATAGCCAATGCTAAAAATCCGGCTATAAAAAGCGAGAGTTTACGGCCGGCGGAACGGGCCAATTGGACCAGATTAAATGAGATACGCCAAGACTCGTAACTTTTACAGCTTCCTGCGTGATTGATATTCTCATTGTCGCTCGGGGCGAATTTTCAAACTTTCTCCTGCTCAAAATCGATCTAATTTGCATGCAAACAAGTTGGAAAGAAGCACATTATGTGTATTTAAGCTCGATATTGGCGCTGCCTTGGTCTTCCCTGTTCCGAGCGGAGAGAAAGATCATTTTCCGTGCAAACCGATATTGATTTCCTCTCCTCCCGACCAGCAGCAGAGGTAAAAAGCGCCGGTCTCGCCAACTATGTGCCAACGACTTGCTCATTCCAAAGTTTCGCCGGCCCACATTTTTCGTCCAACCCAACAAAACTCGCTTTACGGCCCCGCAATAATAGTAAAATCGAGTCGCCTGCCTGCCCTTCTCTGATAATGTAATAAGCCAATCAACTTTGATTACGTCAGCTTTCGGAACACGACGAATTTGCCGACCGCAAATTTCGAATTTGTTTTATATAGGCTGCAGCGTTTTTGATCAGGAAAATTAAAATAAATTGATTTATATTTATTTAAAATTAAATAAATTTTCAAAAGTTGCATAAGTTGAAATGTTTTGAAGAGCTCAAAACTTGTGTGAAAAACTTTTTTATATCGTCTGACCTGAATGAAATTGTTGGAATGTAAAATATATTCAGATTATTTAATTTTTAATAAAAAATTATACAAACTTCAAAATGAAAGTGAAGTTATAAATTTTATAGAGGAATTTAGCGACTTTGTTGAATTAGAGTCACTTGAGTGCAAAGCGTTTCCATTAAAATTTCAAGCAGAATTTAACCCTCTGGCGGAGCGAGTAATTTTTCATAACAAAATAAAAGTGGAAAACGGGCTTGTTTATTCGGCCCTCTTAGTTAATTTCTGCGGCGGAATTAAAAAGGGCACCTGTCGCCCATTAAAATATTATTATTTTCGCTCACACGGCAAAGTGAATTAACAAAAGCCGAGTGGACCGACCGACTTGTGCAAATAAAATGACCATTAATTTGATTTAGGATCGGAGAGGCAACGGTGCTCGCCACATTACCAGCAGCTTAATGCCGTAAATAAGCTGCGAAATAAGGCCAGAAAGTTTTACTGCAAATAAACACACAGTGTAATAACAAAACCTCACATTACACACGCCCATTTATGCAGCGTAATAAAAAACCAAATGCACTTTATTTTGGGCGGCAAAAAAAAAAGAGATTTGAAATACAAAGTAGATATTTTAAATCCTACTTCATTAGCAAAATTCCTGACGAAAGCGGTTTAATGATTACAAGTGAGTAAATAAATTCATTTCACAAGAGTTTATTTAGCAGCTTTCGAAACTTCTGGTTCCGAAATTTAGATTTTCTTTCTCACTTTATGAATATTTTGACTAAAACTAGTGTTAAATTAGAAAAATAATATTCTTGTGAAAAATCACGCAAAAGTATTTCAGTTAATCCAATTTCAGCAAAAGTATCAAATTAGATTTAATTAAAATTTAAGTGAAACACATTTTTCTTCATCCAACAATTATGAACGTTATTTTCGTCAAACGGAATTATTGGTAGATAAAAACAATAGAAAATTACAGAACAAAGTGAAATTATTCTCGGTGCCGTTGCCATTTGAATGCTTCTTTGGTGTGTATTCAAATTAGCGAGTTGGTATCGCGAGTGTGGCTTAATTGGGTATGCAACGCGCAGCACAGCGGCGCTCAACAAATTGCCTAGTTTCGAAACGTGACACCGCGCTCGATGGATAGCGACGGACGCGGTGCAACAAGCTTGATTAAATGTTTAAACACTTGTTTCAAACGCAATAAATTTCAAGACTACTTTAAATGTAAAAACAATACACGCAGGTTGTTGTTGCTTTTATTTATTAATTGGCGAGCAAACAAAGGCAATTGGCATTGTTTGAGCAAATGAAAGCGCGCTTTGATTGGAAATGCGGTCGATTGCATTCAACAAAGGACGCGCGTGTGTTCGGGTTTAATTTCCAACTTTGATTGCAACGCTTTCAACTACGCTCATTACCGACTGTCAAAACCAAGTTTCCATGCCAAATAAGTTCTAATTTTTTTTTTTTAGTCTACTGTTTAAAAATAAGCTGAATTTAAAAAAAAAAAAATAATTCATTGAATTTGCAATTTCTAAAAAACAAGAAAAATTCTTTAATGAATTATGAAAAAAATAATAATTTCAAACATTATTTCTTAAGATGTGTCTTTTTCAATTTAATCTCGTGAAAATTTATGGAAAAATCACTTTTTGAACGAATTCTTTAAGCAGCATATAAAGCATAGATTAAACGACCGACAAGCTTTCCATCCCAGTTAAATTACAAGAGCTGAATTTTGCAAAAATGGCAAGCAATGGAGTTTTTTTCCACAGACGCAGCATGCAACACAGAGGACACCGATAGAGAGGTACTCACAGATTTGACTAATTTTGTGCTTGGTTGCTGCAAGTGGGAAGAGAGAACATGAGCAACAAATTTCCAAGTCAGGGGCGGGGCAGGGGTTGAAAAAAACTGTGTTTCGATTCACGGGGGTGCAAAGAGGGACTCTGGATGAATTGCAGACTCACCTGGACGGCGGCGTGTGTTGTGGCGGCGGCGTGGCGCCCGACGGGCTCGGTGCCATTGAACCATGTAATGTTGGCGGCGGGACGCGCCCCCGTCACCTGGCAAGTCAGCACCACCTCGGTGCCCTCGTGCACGTGCTCCTCCACCCCAGACAGGTCCAGCCGCAGCGGCCGCACTGGAATCATTAAAAAACAACAATAACAAAAATTAGCTTAAAAAAATTCAAATATAAATAAAAAAAATTGTTCATTTATTTAATTCTTTCCAATTTATTTGATTGGAAAAAAGATTGTTTACAAATATATCGATATAAATTAATTTAAAATAGTTTAAATATAAAATTTTTTCTAAGAACTTCGTATCAAAAGTCGATTTTTAAATTGAGTGTATTTTGCACAGATCTTTTCTCTGAATTAATTTGTAAGCGAATTGATCCGATTTTTTTCCCACTCGTACATGAATCGCCATTGCATTTCATTCAGAATTAATATGGCAAACACGCGAGTCTCTTTGAAAGCGCCGACTTTGTCCCCAGAGTTGTGTTTATTTTATTCGCAGCGCCGACTTTCTGCCATTAGCGACGCCCAATGCAAAGTGCTTATTTTTACTCGCGCTATTTAATTAGTGCGTGACCTCAAGCGCTAACAAGGTGGTTCGCTGTTTTCATAAAAGCAGCGATTCAAACAAAAAAATCATAATAATCCCACCGGCTTTTCGAGAGGAATCAGACCGTGAATAAAAATATGTAAAGGTCTTTCCTGTAATAAGATTATTTTTACAGATTTAACCATTTTAATTATGGATTTTAGAGAAAATATTTTATAGAAAATTGCGTAAGATTCAGATTTTTAGAGTGAAAAAGTAAAGATCCATGAAAAGCAGAGCAATATTTTTTGTTGTAAGTTGCAAGATTTTTTTTACCAATTTGTTTTCTCCTTTCAATGCAGTTGTTGCTGCAAAATTTTCATATTTTGTAATTTTTTGAAATCACAAACTTTGACTTGAATCCAGTATTTTGTGAATGTCAAATGGAAAAGTGATTGGGGCGGCCAAAGGGAGAGTGAATTAGCATCGAGGGCCACCTCTGGCCAATGCAATAATCAAAATTGGCAGCAGCTTGGAAATCACACACACACGTGTAATTAATATCAAACAAAGCGCGCGGCCTGTAAATGCAAATTAGTTGCGTCATAAAACGTCATAGCCTGCACAATTATTACTTTGTCCACCTCAGCAACAGCCGATTTCATTTCAATGCGCTGCCGATTCGGTCTATAATGAAATTATACTTTAAATATTTACTCTGTTTTTAATTAATCAACAGGGTGAAGCGCCTATTTCGATTTCAAACAACGCATAATATTTTCGTGCACTGACGAGAATTCTACGGGAAATGCAATAACAAAGGTTGAGGTAATATAAAATATTCTTAAATTAATGAAAAAGTGTTAAATTACTTATTAACATGTATTTGAAATAAACAGGGACAAACAAAGCTAGAAAATTTATTCATCCCTTCTGTTTAGAATAATAAATTATGCAAATTAGGCGGCATTACGCATTCCTGGTGACCCTCGGAAGGTATGCCGAGGGCGCTTTCTGAAAGTTTACTCAAATTCGGCCACTTCATTATCGATCAGGCGAATTCCGGCGCTGATCACCGCCATTGTGAGCCTCTTTGGCCATTTAGCGCGATACACCTCTCTCGAAACAACGCGCGGCCGAGTGCGTGTTTCACTTTTGTGCTCCTCTCTCGAGTGCACACTTCTTGCCCTGCGACTTCGAGGGCGATCGATACCATCGGCCTCAACACCAATGCCCTCGTGTTTGCCAAATTTTACCTGCAAAAGCTCAAATCCTCTCTAGTGGAACACAATTGAAAAACAGAGACTCCTCGAATTCAATTTAGGTAAAAAAATCTTTGTCATTTTGCGTTAAATTTCATTTCAATTTAAATTAAGTCACAAAACCAAACTTTTATTGATAATTTTGAACTTTTTATGAAGAATTGTGAATTTTACTATTGATGAACGTTTTTAATACTTTTTAATTAAAATAACTGGAATTCTGTATTAAATTAAAAAGCAAACAAAATTAAATAATGCGTTTTGCTTTGTTATGTAACCTGGAAAAATTCATGCAAGTCTGAAATTTTCACCATCCTGTTGACGCATTTTCTGAGATTTCAAATGATTTTTTTATATTAAGTAAAAAAATTCTGCATTTCAATTAATGATGCTCAATTTTGAACGGGCCAGGAAATGTCTATAACTTGGCACGATCCATCTTTTATAAAAGGAAAATTCCTCAAGAGATTTTGAGGCTTCTTGGTTTGATTTTCTCCCTTGTGAATAAAATTGAGCAGAATTTTTCAGCTTTGGAATTTAAAGAAAGTGGCAAATACAAAAAGTGTGCCAAATCAAATCATCTAAAACTTTTGTATAGAACATTTTTCTCTAAAATGCTTTTCAGAAGAGCAAGGGCTAAAAAACTTATATAAAAATTACAAAATATTTACCTCTGTTCAAGAAATCTGAATTTGCGTCAACAATTATCATTTTACTAAGCAAACATGGTAGTTTTGAAAGCTATTTAATTTCCTATCGATTGACGTTGGTCTCGTTTTTGTACAAGGAATAGAAAAATTACTGCAAAAAATAAGCCACATTTCAAAGGTACTCTTTTCCCCTAGAAAGGGTAGCGGCAGGAAATCACAGAAAATATAGACATTAAAAATCAAAAGATACCCTCTTGCTTTTGAAAACTTTTAGCTCAAGGCCGATTTATTTACTGTGATTCACGAAATAACTGCAAATGATTGCAGATTCAAGACGATCAAATCATGTATACAGACATATTAATTCTGTTGTGCGTGTTGAATAGGGGAATTTTGGGGAGGGCAAATAATGCGAAATCGACGTCGGAAGAAACCCCGGCGCTCTCTCTCGTCTCTTGATGAGAACAACATGAAAGCCTTGGTGGATTCAAGTAACCGCACGCGGCGGCGGCGCCATTATTGCAACCGCTCGCGCGCTGTTTAATTTCATCTCCCCAAGGCCTTTTCCTTTGGCATTGCGAGTAATGAAATCGTGCCAGCCACACATAAATACACAGCGCATCCTTATCAAAAATCTTAATGGCGGATCCGAGATGATTTAATAACGAGCGCCTCGTAATTGCGAATTCAAAGCAGCGCGTCACGTCGATTTATCGAGTTCCATTGTTCCGTGTCTTTGGCGCGCGCGCGATCGCTGCAATTATTGTTCCACTCTGCAAACTTTTGTCAAGCGACGATTCAATCACTCGGGCCGCTTTCAACCGACGAGTCACTTTTCCATTTCAAAGCGTTTCTCTTTTCAAAGGCTGGCTTTTGACAAAAGGAAAAATATGCAACAAAATATGCCTGAATCAGTAAAAAGTGGTTTTTAGTTTTAAATCTTTTCAAATCATTTAAATAAATATCTCAAATTATGACGTTTTTTTCCCTAATATTAAAATATATAAGTCAATTGATTTGGAATTTGATTGATTCAAGGTTTCATTTCTAATCCCATGTGATCCATTTTGATCCGAAGTGTTTTCACGGCGGAGGAGAAATATAAGAAGTGATATTTTTCAGCTGACATCATTTCCCGCGGCAACAAAAGCGGCGGAGAAAATCCTTTTGTGGAGGCAAAAACCAACAGGCAGCAGCAGCAGCAGCAACGCTAGAAATACTTCAATTGTCGCATTTAATGCTTCGTCGAGCGAGCGAGCTCGAGAGTGAGAAAAAAGGAGGAAAGCGAGCTGCTGCACTCGATGGCGAAAATCGCGTGGAAAATAAATTGTATTTTTTGGTCTGGCTTCCATTAAAGACACCGCAGAAGCAGCGAACGAGATGCTCAGGCCTGATAACAAACTGTGGGGAAGCCGCGACTGCAGGGTTGTGGATCAAAAACAAAAAACGCTCAATTATTTTCAAAATAGAAAAAATAAAATCACAACATTTTTAATAAAGGTGGAATTTTTCAGTTTCAATGACTATTTTAAACAAAATATTGAAGATGGTTTATGAAAAAATTTCTATAAATCTGATATTGTTTGTTTTTTGAAAAAATCTCTTGGGTAATTTTTTTGAAAATAAAAACTATAAATCAAAATCAGTCGAAGCTCCTCAAATTTGAACAGCTGAGAGGAGAACCATCATAAGGTCAACATTTCAAGTGATTTTGAGCCTTCTAAGCCCATCTTTGATTTTTTCCCTACAAATATTGGGCTGAAAATCTCACTTTTCAACCTTTCCCCTGTTATAACTTTATTCCTTTTGGATTTAGAAGAAAATGTTAAATACAAAAAGTATGCAAAATTAAATTATCTAAAAGTTTTGTATGAATATTTTTCCTCTAAATTGTTTTTTGGAAGAGCTAGAGCTTCAAAACCAATAAAAAAGACAAAAAATTGACCTTTGTGCAAACAATTGAACTTTTTAGCGCCAAAAATGGTTTATTTTATGCAAACTTGTTAAGGTTTTGAAAGCTTATTAAATTTCCTATCGATTGACGATGGACTCATGTCTGAACGAGAAATAGAAAATTTTCAACAAAAATCAAATTGACGCCACCTTTCAAAGGTGATTTTTACCCAGAAATTCATCCCTTTCAGATGGCGAAAGAAAGTTTTGAACTTGCATGAATTATTTCTGGGTTGTGTTGTTTGCGTCTAAAATAATCGACCCGTGACATTACCGCCATCACAGATAAACACGCTTTTTCTCTTTTCGGCACAATCGGTGCACCCGACCGACGAGTCTTTCCTTCTTCCTCTTTGCAGTTTGGTCACGCGACCGCGGTGGGCGTGTCCCTGGTCATTCTTTTTACTTTGAGGAGGAAATAAAATAACGGCGAGAGATAGTTTTGTGCTCTATTGTGCTGTCAGCCGGAATAAATCGCCGCTAATAATAACGTCGCAGCAAACGTCACTTTTGTCACAAAGCGGAAGGAAAAAAACTCACCGTTGACGTCGACCTCGATGGAGGCGGTCAGGTCGGCGCTGAGCGCGCGACTCGACGCCTTGCACTCGTACTTGGCGCCCAGGTCGCCCCTGCCCAAGGTCACCTGCAGCCGGTTGACGCCGGTGCCCACCCCGTTTGGGCCAGGGTCGGCCGAAAAGGCTCCTGGAACAACAACAGAGAAAAACATGAAAGTTACATAGATTGACACATTTTCACAATAATGATAATTTTAGAGTAAATTTTTTGTAATTTATTCATTTTCGTTGCTCAAATATATGAAAAAATCCTCTTTATCTTTAAAATAAAAAGTAATTAATGATATTTGAAAAAAGAACACACACAAAATTTAGTTCAAACTCAATTCATCAAATCAAAAATTATAGGTAAATTTTTGGTATTTTATTTATTTCATTTTCTCAAATTAAACTATAAATCAACAAATCCCCTAATTTAATTTCATTTGCAATGAATATTAGTAGAAAGGAATGGAGAATTATCTGTTATAACTTTTTTTCATTTTAGTTGAAAGCTTCATCTCCGATTTAGGGCTTAGTTCGGGTCGGCCAAATCCACTTTGGCTTAGGAAGGGACTTTTGCCTCTTCTGATCCCATTTTCTAATCCTGGCCCCGATAGCGAAACCGAATGCGACATTTCGGTTTGTCAATTAATGAGGCGCATTTTGGTGCTGAGCAAGTTCCTCTCCTAATCTGCTCTGGCGCCAAGAGGGGGTGGAGGGGGGGGGTGTTAATTGCACATTATTAAGGCAATTATTCAGCGCACACGGCAGTCAGTAATCTGGCAATTGCTCTGTAAAGTATGAAAGGGGATTGGCGAGACGGCAGGTGTTATGTTTACAGAAGGGCTTCGGCAGTACTTGAGAAGCGATTGTATTCCTGTTAAGTCTTATCTCATCTAAATTCACCTCGTTAGACGCCGCGAATCTGCTCATTAGCATGCGAGCAGAGATTCAACTGGGGCGTCAAAGAGAATCTGGCAATTCGGAGCGACGCGCGGTGATTTTTGGTAATTAAGCCGTGGATTTTTCAAAAAACGGTCCGATTAAATGAAAATTTTGTATAAGAAAAATTTAAGTCATTGTGAGAACAGCATTTTTTAAATTTTTATTGGCTAGGATTTATTAAAATCTCAGCAAGTCACGTTCAAATCACCCCAATTAAGACGGAAAACAAAATCAATAGGGTTTAGTTTACATTGATCGTGTGGGAAAAGTTTAATTTCAGTGTAGATTTCACGAGCTTCTTGTTAAATGAAAAAAGTGCAAGATACGCTGTTAAAAAAAATTTAGAAATAATTTCAGAAAGTTAGAAATGTTTGTATTTCAACGTTGCTTATCAAATTCTGTCCAATTTAAGAATAAAATTGTTTAAAAATTAAAGTAAAATGAACATATTGCTGGGTTATTTAGCAGAACAAAATAGAAAATCACACTTTAAAATTTAATTTGGTCTGCCCTGCTTTTAGTGAAGGGAAATGGATGAGTTGGCAGGTATTGGAGTGTTTAATCAATTTTAAGCAGCGCGAGGCGTCAAATTGTAATGGACCCCTGCAGACGCCTGCAAGTTTAATTCAAGGATAGCGCGTGTACAATTCGGCATAATGCGTGCAAGGTGCGCGTGATTGATGGTCGGTTACTTTGGAGAAAGCTGGGGCGAGGCGCTTTTTGAGCCTTCTCGGCGTGTGTCAGGAACGCGGGCGGAGAGGGATGGTTGCATCGCACGCTAACAAGATCCACACACAGTCTGCTCTGTGTCAAGAGCTGGAAACTGTGCTGGTGTTACGCACAAGAGACCTACCCGCCGACCTCTAATGCGATATTCCGACGCTGCGTCGAGTGACTGAAAACCCGCAAAAGGGGCACGCGCGGTTCAACCCTTTACTCACGCAAATTTGCCAAGTTTGGATTTTGTAAATTATAGAGATGTTTATACTGCAGTTCTCCGGGATTAAATTTAACAAGTTGAAAGTCGAAGTTCAAGTTAGAATCGTATATTTGAAATAAAAGGGAAAATAATTTGCAATTTTAATTTATTTATTCTAATATATTTGCTTTTTTCCAAATTTTAATGAATTTTGTGTGGAAAATAGTGAAAAAAAGTTTGAAAAAAAAAATTTGAGCATTTTAAAGAGAATTAAAAAGTATATTCAGAGATCAAACTTCGAATTTCGCGTCGTTTTTATCAAAATTTCTGTCAAATTTGGTTTTAAGTATCCTTCCCTTAAAAATTAGATCTGTCTTGGAACCGAATATCCAATTTATTTCAATAAAATTAACAACACGATTTGAAATATTGTTGATGTGTTTTTAAATTATTTAATTTTCCGATTTTTTGCTTGGAATTTTTTTTTTTTCGAGAAAGACGAGAGCGTTTGAGCAGAACTGATGTTTCTCTCTTCCCACTTTCCCTTTCCGTCTAGCTTTTTCCTTTTTCCTATTTGCAAACAAGTTGGGTTTCTCGGCCGGCCGGCCGGTGTTCACAAGGCTTGAGGGAAATCTAAGCAAAGCAAAGCCCGGCGGAGTCGGCATTAAATGGGCCTTGAACGCGGCGGCGGCGGCGGCGGCCAGATCCGCCCCTGGAGAACCACCCACGTTTCTTGCAGACTTTGCTGCTGCTGCTGGGTTTAAACAAACGCAGATGTATGGCAGCGCAAAAGAACGCATTTTCCGGCTCTCTCTGTCCTCCCGCCGAGGGTAATCGCGCACAAACACACAAATTCCTCCTTCTCGGCTGCTTTAATCGATACCAATCTTAATTCTCGGCACCCAAAATCCTGCACTAAAAATGCAATAAAAAGACGAGGAGGGAGGAAATTTAGGGAAAAAATCAATTTTGTGACGAGTATAAAAAAATAAGGACAACTTTCGAGCCAAAGCGCAGATTGGTTGGCAAGGATTCTTTAACAATCAGGTGTTTATTTTACAAAATTTGAGGGATTCAAGCGCGGAGAAAACCGTGAAAAGTGAAAAACTTTCTCCGAAAAACTTAAATGCAGAATATTTGTGTTTCTATTTGAGATACAGAAATGCGGCTGGAAGCAAAAACTTTATATTTAAATCATCTTCAGCCCACAGGGTTCAAATAATTCAGAGATCAAAGCTCAACGTCATTTTCTAGAGGCCAAATGTACGAAATAAATTAATTCTGGAAAAATATGCCACTTTCTAATGAGCTCAAAATTTTTCTAAAATAGTGCTAACAAGTAAAAAAAGAAAAACATATTAAAAACTGAAAAAGGTATCCTTTAATTAAATTACAAATTGCCGATGGCCAAAAACTTATTTGGAGATTTTTTGAAATTTTTGAATGAATCATCATATTAAAATGAATAATTTACCCATGCCAGATGCGTACTTTCTCGAAAAAAATTTTGGTTTTATTTTTTAAAATAAAAATTACAATAGTTTTTTCTGTTCGAATTGTGTTTTCCTCCCGAAACAACCTCGCTTTTCGTCTGTGAAACTGTGACTTTGTGCATAGTTTTGCGGGCTGACTGCGCGTGCGAGACAACAGACTCAACTTCGGCACACGTATTAAATTCATCCACCTCGCTGTTTAATTAGAGCGTGTGTTTGTGTGTTCTCGCAGAACGCCACTGAGAGAGCAGGGAGTGCGGTTGAATAATTCGCGTATAAACATCAACGCAGCAACTTTCCTGCTTTTAAACACGGCGGACATTTTAAACTCGGCTTTGCAAGGTAAAAAGTTACCCAGGTGGAAAAAAACGCTCTCAAATGTATTCACACAAACCAAGTAAAAGTGAAATTGAGACGTATCCTTTCGTTGACGACTTTTTAAATTCTTCGATCATTATTTATCAATAAAGAAATAAATTAAAAAGGAAATATTAAATTGATTAAATTAATCTTCATTTGTATAATTTTTAAAATATAAATTTTTTTAATTCCTTTTAATATTTTTGGAAATAAAAGCACTTCTCTCTCTTTGGAAATTACATACTTCAGGTTTAGAACAAGTTTAAATTGGTCACACAAACATGTTTGATTAAAATCCGTGGTATTTATTTTAAACATTACGAGAGCAAAAGTTTTGAACGCGCTCGGTCTGGTTCCATTTTCAATGACAGAGCGCGTCCTTTTTTCTACCGAAATCCAAAACTCCGCACGCATTGAATATTTAAAAAGCCGTGCAGAGTGGGAAGTATAACTAAAGGTACACGTCCGTGAATGGGCGGATATTTGAAAAAGCGTGTGTGCGCCTCCATATTCAGGAGGGCGCTCTTTTGATGCGGAATTTGCATAAGTGGCGCGCAGACTCTTCTCCTTAATTTATTCACGAGCCGGAGATTTCCACGGCGGCCGTACATGATATTAGCATTTTTAATTGAGGCCCTTCTTATCATCTCGGAGCGAAAAATCTCGCGAGTATATTTATTCAGGGCAAGTGAAACCGCAACACGAAACAAACCAGACGTAATTAGTCGCCCTAAATTTCAGCCGCCGCGTGTGTTAACCAATAAATCTCTCGCCAGGACCTTAAAACGACGAGTAACACCGATTTAATGCACGCCGGGGCCGGCAAACTCTGCGCTGTAAACTTTTTGCTGCCCTAACCGCGCCGTGTTGCCCGTTTTTGTTTCAAACAACACCAGCTCCAACGAGATTATTTCCCAAACTTCACTCAACATGCAGGGACGAGTGGATTCACCAATAAATTAAATGGCCCCAACGATGCTTCCGGGAAGTTTTGTCCAAACAAATTCCAATCAAATTCAAGCAGTTGTTTGTTTAAATTTCAAGAAGATTGAACCTGCTTTTACAATTCTTCAATACATGAATGAAACATATTGAAAAAGAATAATTTTCTAATTTTTATAAACTCCTCCGAATAATTCAATTTTTTGCGTTTCGACGCAATTTTAAATTCAAACCTGAACTGTTATTTTTATGGAGGATTTTATTGCCTTGACAAAGATTTTATAAAATTTCAGTACGCAATGTTATCCTCTGGAATTTTACAATTGATTCTTTGTTTAAAACGTTTTCTTCTTAAATTGCTCTCAATTTTCTCAAAAATTATTTTATGGTCATTAATCGCTCATTTCTGATTTATTTGATTTGGGAACATTTTGATTATAATTTTGAAAACGAGGGATGATTTTTTTCTTGTATAAAAGGGGCTGTCGTTGGCGTGCAATTTGACTCGTCAGAGGTGTGTAGCTTCCTTTCGAAGATCTGAGATATAAACCAGTTCTCTCTCATCTTCTCTCTCTCCTTTTTCTTCTCTTTCCGAGAATTGATAGTGAAAAGTCAGAGACGTCTGGTCTTGGCGCAAAAATAACGCAGAGAGCGTGATAAGCAGGCGCAGCTGCGGTGATGGAAAGCAGAGCTGAGGGCGAAATGAGAGCGCGGCCGGGCAAGTCAATATAGATGCGGTTGCGATGATGACGCCGATGATATGTGAAGGAAGGTGAGCTTCTTCTTTTTTGCGGCGCATCTTTCATCTTTCGCTAGGAGGAAAAAATTCGGCCGGCTCAGCTCATAGAAAAATTTCATTAGTTGCACGCGTCGGCGGGGCTAAAGACTAACTTGTGGCAAAAAAAAATACTTTTGGAATTTCATCATCCTCTCCCCGGCAGTCGGCGCACTTCATTCCACATATCACTTTCTACTGCCGCTTGTTTTATATTCGACCGACAAAGAACTGCTGAAAGAACGCTTCTTAATTTTATGTCCTCTTTTTGATGGAGTCGACGGAAGCATTTTTATTTTTTTTACCCCGCAACTCCTTTGATGGAAAGCAAACGGATTGTTTATAAAAAGGTCCAGCAACACAATCTCGCAATGTGTTTGAACCTATAAGTGCTCTTTGTACATTTTTGCACCAGTAATTCTTAATAATTTCAAAAATTTAAATTATTTTTTCACTTATTTTTGCTTCTGGTTGAGTTACGTCAAAATTCCAGGTCCTAAAATGGTCCTCTAAAAATTCTCTGTCAAACCACGTGCCACACATTGAGAAAACTTTGCAAAAAGGTCACAGAGGTCAATGACCTCAGTGACACAATAACCACGTGCAATGCATGGTCTGATAGAAAAAACTCAAGAGGATCACTTTGTGTCATCAGGTGTTGTGAGTTTTTTCAAACAAAAAAAAGTTAAATTTTTAAGATCAAGAGCTCAAAATAACGCTAAAACCGCACTTTTAGGTCTTTGTATTTTATATTCAAAAGTTCTAGGAACTTATCCATCTATTTAATTATCCCATCTTACGTAAAAGTTTACGCTCTTCAAATTGGCTATTTCAGAATTTTGATACAAAAAGTGCCGGCTCACCATAAAATCTGAGGTCAAAGGTCACGAGGAAGTGACCTTGACCCGTAACCCACGATTTTACGCCAAACAGCAAAGTTGAAGAGGGTGACGAGACGAGTTCAACCATACCCAGATTTCTGTTCTACAAACACGGGAAGCCGAGATGCAACCTTTTGAAATTTACAAAAATTCAAAATTGAACATCCCAAAAAACAGCAAATTTTGAGATAACTGAGAATAAAAAAAGCTACACTTTTGGATCCCTCTGGTTATAATTTTTCATCATATGAAGCACGGTTTTGCTCAGTTGACTGCTGCTGCGGGAAACATTTGCTCAGATTTGAAATTTTTGATCCTCATTTGAATTTTCAACAAAATTTGAGATTCTCCAAAAATAGTACTACTTTTAATTCGTTTCAGATTCGCAACCCGTTTAAAAGAAAAGCATTCGGAAGTGTGTGGTTTCGCCATGAAATATAAACCGCAAAGAAAGATTTACATCTTGTGAAGTCCGCAGGGAGTAGAAATAAGGAAAGCATTAATTTCAGCGTTGGTTGCCCGAAGAGCGAGCGAGCGCACCTCCTGCGAGGAGAAGAACATACCGGTTTTATGGCCTCACAGTAATAACCGTTTGCAATCTTGTATTTCATGTGGCGAAATTGGCGAGCCCTCGGGCCTTTAAGGCTCTTAAAGCTGGCAAAAGGGGCAAAGTGACAGCTGCCGTGGAGAGAATTCTGTTGCGGTCAAGATTGAATCGAGAGGAGCCTAAAATTTTGCATTTGCAGCGTGAAAGGATTTCTCGTGCAGCGCACAACAAGAAGTGCTCTTTAGTGCGGAATGAATTCCAACTGGGATAAAAGCGCGAATCGATCCGCGCCCTGCCGCAGATATTCAATTTTCCAATACATGTGCGTATCGAAAAGAGGGAGAGAGAGAAAAGCCGGCGGCGGGTTATGTGCATTATGAATTTTATTAAGATTAAGAAGGCGCGACGACGCCGAAAAGCCATTTTAATTCGCAAGCCTCCGATCACATCTCTTGCAAAATGAAAAGCAAACAAAAGACGCGCAATTTTTTTATCCACCAAACTAACCCGGATCAAAATGAGGTTCAAATCCAATTTCAAATTATTTCTCATTTTTATTAATTAACAAAATTAGAAAGATTGATCATTTTGAGCAAGTAATTTATGCAAATCGGAACTTTTATCTGATAAAACGCTGAAAAATTCAAAATCTTGAAGACAGAATCTTTAAATTCATTTTTTTTTTAATATTTAATATTTTTTTAAATTCCGCAGCCAAAGAAATAGAATATATATTTAGAATTGAATGAAATTGTGATGTATAAAATTTTTCATAAAAGGAACTGATTCGAGTGATAAAACCGCGAGTTGGCGCCAACGGAAACTTTACAGTCTGACGCGCCAGAGTTGGCAAAATTTTCGATTCATAGACTCGGTGGCCGCAATCAAGTTGCTAATGATGCATTGTGAGACGGCAAAGCTGCACTCACCTGGTAATTTATGCGTGCCGTTCCACCAAGTAATATCTGGAATTGGTTTTCCGCCGCCGGATTGGCAACTAAGTTTCAGTTCTTGTCCTTCCTGGAACGGACCAATTAGCGTCGAGCTGCTGATTTCGCTGCCGTCCTCTTTCAAAACTTTGACGTACTCGGGCTTGACTGCAACACAAGAAGAGAGAGAGAAGGTTAGCGAAAGGACTATTCTTGTCTTCCAACCAAAAAGTTTTCCGTCTGTTCAATTTGATATGGATAAAGGGTGAATTGGCAAAATGTTCACATGCAAGAGGAATTTTAAATGTTATTTTTTACATAGAACAGCAAATTATGAAGAAAAAGAATTAGTTTCAATTCTTCATACTTTGAAAATATTGTATAAGAAATTTAATTTTAATAAAAAAATCGAGTTTAAAAAAATAATTCACTATTTATTTTTCCATATAGATAATAAATTATTAAAGATTTTTCCGTAGCCATTTTAACGTTGGTCATACAGTTTAAAAATTGCATTTATTTCAAATTCAGATTCTGGAATAATAAAATATTAGTGCTTGAGCTTTTAAAGCAAGGCATTGCGTTTTCCCGCCAATATTTAAGAATATTGGCTTTTTTAAATTAAAAGTGGTTTTGAAATAAAATCTTCCCTCGAGATTCTAATTTGCTTGACGGGAAACCCCTTTCTCAAAATTTAGGGGCGTCAATTAGGGGGATTGAATAGATCATGTTTTCAACTATTTTTTGGAACTGCTAAAAAATGTACAAATAAAGACGAAATATATCATTTTCAATCAAAATTTGACAATTTAGAGTCACCTAAAACCACCTATTTGATGAAATATCACCTATTTTGAAATTTTTTGTCTGTTTTTGTTCTCAAAATTTCACTTATTTAAACAAAAAATAGCCTGCTGACAAAAAAGTTACCTATAAACACGATTTTTGTCAACACATTCACCTATTTGCCATTTAATTTCAGCTGAAAAATCACCCTCTTTGGAACATTTTTCCCATGCCCAGTTATGTTTTTGGACACAAAATCTTAATAATTGGCTTTTAAAGTTTCAAATCGACCGCCAATTTTACTGAAAGTAGAAATCCTTGGAAAATAAGTTTATTTTTATATATATGTATGGTCTTTATTGAAAACTCAATTGAGTAAAACTTTCAACTTACATCTTAGAAGGTTAAAATTAAGATTCACAATTTATTTTATCAGTTTGCGCGACAGGGTTTCCAAAGTTTTTCACTTATTTTTAGAATAGTCATTAATGCTAAGCACTCGGTGGTTGCACTCGGCCAGATGATATTGGGTGCATTTCTCACCGCATAGCAAACACACCCATGAATCACTTTCCTCGAAACACTGTTGGCGCTCGGAACTATTGCTACAGATTTGATTATGAAAGCCGTGTATGGCAATTTTTATATTAGATCTTTAATTCCAAATTTTAAAGCAAACCTTTTTCAACGAGGTGAAATTTTCATACCGCACTTTTGAACCCTTTGAAAGTGTTAATGAAACCGACAAGCATTGCAAAATGTATGGTTTGCAGCCTGAAACATGCTGGCCGGATTAAAAGGCACATTGTTTTGTGCGTGCCTGGATTCAGGTGGTCGAAAGCCGCAAAATGAAACTAATCGCAGCTTCGATATTCGCCGTGCTTAACAGCAATGAAATCGTGTGTGTGTGTGTGTGCGTTAAACTTTGAGCCAGAGACTGAGAGCAGCAGGTATTACTAGAGGCAGATATTATGCAGGTGCCGCCGCTTGAGCCACACATTAAACGCCGCCCGGCAGATTTACGTATGCGCCGCGTATTTAATTAAAGCGGAGCATGTTCGCCCGCCCGCCCGCCCGGCCGGCCAGCAAAAGCAGGTAGATCAGCCACCTAATCCCGCCCCGGGATAACTTGAGAGCAGCGTGCGCTTTATGGCCCCGAATCATCCTAGACAAAAAATCTTTATCTCTTCGGGCCGACCGGAAAATTTGCATCAGAATGATGGCGCGACGGACACTCTTCGCATTCCAATCAGCGATCAATGATCCAAAAGCCTGAACTGGCCAGGGATAGCTTAAAGACCCACTCTGGTCATTTTTATTCAGACATGACGTCGCTCCCAAGGTTTTTTAGAAAGGGCAAGAGCGGAGCGAACAAGCAAGAGCAGAGAGCGAAAATTCGCTCTTTTATAGCGCTTGCAACGCAATTTTTTGAACTAAAAATGTACGAAAATTTGAAATTAATGTCAAAATTACAAAGGATTACTAAGAAAGTGGTTACAGTTAGTTTTAAACACTATGGAAGGCGCAGCTGAATGAAGAGTTGATTAATTTTGAACAAACTGAAACTGATTTTGATGTATGATAAAATTATCATAAAAGGAGCGGGGAGCGGAGCGAAAAAATTTGAAAATTGAAAGAGCGGAGCGATGATTTTGGTAAAGAGCGGGAGCGGAGCGGGGAGCGCAAAACGTGAGAAAAATGTCTGTTTTTATTGCTATTTATTTAGGGAGAACTCTCAATTTCGAGTGAATCTTGTCTCAAAGTGGAAGTTTTGAAGTATTGGTCATGAAATTTATCCTTCTTTCACATTCAGGAATAACAAAATTTAAATATTTCCCCCTTTAATTGTGGACTAAATTTCCTTTGGTTAGGTTAAATTATTGAATGACTCTAAAAAACTATTTCAAAACGCAAAGAGTAAATCACTGGTTTCCTGAAAGGATGGTGATTTTCTAACGAGTTGAAACTAGACAAGTTGCTGCGTGAAATGATATTTCTTGTTGTGGCATTCGAGAGGAAATGCTCAAAGGGGGGATTATGGCTATTTTATGGTTGATGCCTTTTCAAGTCCTACTTGCACAAAAAGGGGTCGCGCGCGCGCTCAGGGTGGGTGGTGTTGCAGCGACTCATTAGCATGCCCACTAATCAGCTTAATTGGCCGAGAGTGGAATATTTGCTTTTTGCCAAGACTATATTTACAGCCGGGCCGTTACTCTGCCCGGCCATCCGAACAATGCTCTCGGCGCCACCATTATTATCATCACCGAGAGCTCTCGGGAGATTACGGCAAAAAATAAGCTCTCTCTCATATTTGCACTCGTCTTCATTCAGTAATGCCTCCTTTTATTATTAGGTCACCGAGCCGCGCGGAATAAGGTTAATTAGCTTCTCAGCTGGGATCGGCTCTCATTACGAAAATGAGTGGAAAAAGAAAGGACAAGAATATCGAAAAAAATTGTCTGCAATTTATGACATGCAAAAGAATTTCCCCTCATATTGTATAGAGAAATAAATTCCAATTTGATTCATCTTGGAAAATAGTTTTATTTTTTATTTTGCTCTCCCCTCTGCAAATCAAACCCCAGGTGAAACTTTTTCTTTTGGGCCTCAAGGGGCTGATCGGAAATGCAACGCGTGCATCTCTCGCTCGCTACTTTGCCTAGCAAAAGTTGCACACTGTTGAGAGAAAGTCGGACTGATGGATGGACGCTCCGCTTTGAGGGAAAGTTTCGACTCGTGGGAAGGATAAATATCGAATGGCCCCGAGTCTTTCAAAGCTTTGGCACTTTGGCTCAAGACGGACTAAGCTCTTTATGAATAATAAATCATCCCTGCCGGCCTCTGCGCCACCCACGCGATTTTGACACCTCTTTTTGCTACATAAAATAACCCAATACAAACAATGAATATGAATAAAAATTTATTGGTTTCTTCGAAAATTTACAACACATTCAAGTTTTAACCGAATTTATTCTTTTAATCAATATACAAAGATGAGAAGCTGAAAAATCAATTCCCTCAAGTGCTTCCGCCAGAATCTCAATTTGACTTTTTTTTGGAAATTTTAATTTCTTAATTACTTTGACACGTTTTTTTTCATGGTTCTGGAAAGACAAAAATATGGCCTAAATTTAAGAATACTAAGAAATCGTTCAGATCCCGTTTAAATCATCATGAGTCGGACACTTTAAGAAAATAGAAAATTAAAGTTTTGCTTAAATAGATTTTCGGCCCTTTTTGATTGTTTTAGTCAATTAGAACGAAATTTATGTCCGTTTCAAGTTGATTGAGAAATTAAAACTGTCAAAATTGCCAATCAAGATTTTGGCGGAAGCCTTTTGGGGGAAACGACTTTAGATCTTGTCATTAATTTTGCTTTAAACAAATAAAAATTTGAGCTTTTATGCAATTTTTTCCGGGCCAGGCCCCCATTTGATCTGTTTTTACTAGACTATATAAGTGCGAAATAAATTTCCAAGTGGGAGTGTAAATTTTGAAGGCTTCGCTTCTTCAGGCCAAACTTCTTCACACCCTTGTAAACTTTGATAACAAGCGTGGACGAATTTAAGGCGAGCTGCTAATCCTAACACTAATTGAAATAAAGATGAGCCCGAGCTGCTTGCGTGGGCCAACTTTCTTGGTCCGGCGGGCGGCAACTCTTCACCGCAAATAAGGTCTTTGCGAGGCCTGTCGCCGCTCCCACGACTTGTTTGCCGAGCATGACTAAATTCAAATGCAAGTAAGAAGTCGATCGAGCCGCCGAATTCATTAGCAAAAAGGAGAAAAGTGTCCGGTTTCTCTCAAGATTGTTTGCTCCGTCAAACCTTCTCAGCCGGATGGACTCGCACTTAATTAATTATGGAGCAGCTTCAAATTACTTCAAGGATAAGAAAAAGGCTTGGAAAATATAATCTGAAAATTTGAGACGAAAATTTATGTAAAAATTAACATCAGTTTAACAAAACAATCGAGTTTAATAAGTTTTTTTGCTTTGCTTTTAGTTATTGCCAAAATTTATTGCTACTAATTTTGTGTTTTCACAAATTTGAGAGGCGAAATTGAGGATTTCAGAAGCAAATTGTGTGAAATGTTTTTGGGCAAAATTGTCCTGAGCTTAAAAGAGCAATTTCGGAAATGGGATTTTGGCAATTTCGGCGCGACATTACAAAAGCTTTGCGATTCGGAATGGCATTTTGACGCAGCAGAGGTGGAATATTAGCATATAATTTGCAGCCCCGACGCGCTCCACCAGCTCTGCTCTCTATTATGACGACCTCATTAAGGATATCCTGGCCGCCCATATCTGCTGTCACGCTGAATCGCGCGTAATTACCATTATCGGCGGCGGCTGCGCTCTTTTTTTTCATTCAATATGAGAGAGAGCTGGAAAAAGGCTCCATTACAATATCAAATGAATGGCGGTGCGCGCCGATGAGCCAGAAATATATTCGCACGCTCTCAGATTAAAATTCAGCAAGACTGCGAATTTATTTTTCCGCGCCTCCAATTCGAACGCGCGCTTTCATTCCAGCCGGAAATTCGTTGCAAAAAATGAACATCATGAGATGAGGAAATTACAAATAATTTCAAATGAAAATGCCTCGAATTCAACCATTAAATTTCTTAATCACAATTCGACAATCAACCTATTGGGCGTGAATTAAAAAAAATTACTATAAATATTAAATTTATATTTTATTTTTTTGTTAATTAATTTATTAATTTCATAGCTGCTTCAGCTCAAATAAGGTGGAAAAAAAGGTGAAATTTGGTGAATTTTTTGCAAAAAAAAAATACCAAAAATCATTGATTCAAACCAAAAAATCTACAAAACACGTTGAAAATTATAATTGTGAGATATTGAAATTCACTCTGTGCTTTATTTTGTCCAGTTGAACATTTTGCATGATGGGAATTTCCAATTTCGCTCGATTGGTTAAAAATATCCGCTCACATAAAAAAGGCAGCCGGAGTTCTGCCGGATGCAAATTCCAATTTTTCGCTCTCCCTCATTAATATTCGAATTGATCCATTGCAGCGGCGTTTACCGCCCAATTATCATCGCATTCTCCCGTTTATTTACTGCGCGCAATTTTTCGATTGCACTCGAAACTTCCACATGTCCCGTGTCCACTTCAAATTCGCGTTAGCCCCTCTCGATATGTTTTTTTTTCGCAACACGACACACGCTGCACAAGAGTCTGTCAGTTTTTGATTTCGCTTCGATTAACTTGATCGTGTTTCACAAACTGACAAGAGATTTCAATATCAGTCCGGCGGGACAGGTTTTGCGCAACGCTCGAGTGTAATTGCGAAACGATCTGAGTCTTTATTTCCGATCCAGAGAGGCATAAAAATAAACAGAGTGAACCTGATAACCTTCATTTTAACAGGGGTCAAGAGACAAATTTTACAATTTGAACAATTTTGTTTATAAGGAATTTCAACAAAAATAAAATAATGCCACGATTTAATTAATTTTGACGATAATTAGCAGATTGGTTGATTTTATTAAGTGGACAAAGGTTTTAGAAGGATTTTAAAAATTCTAAATATTGCCTATTTTACAGGATCTCAAAATTTGAAATTTTTAAACATTGATTTTGAAAATGGAAAATATCTCAGCTCATGTTAAAGAAAGCCCAAAATTGTCAGGAATTAGCCCTACAACTTTGCAACAGTGACCGAAGTCGTGGGTCAAAGGTCAAGGTCACCTTTTGGAACCTGAATATTTAATTAATCTGCTGAAGTACCTGGGAAGCATTTTTTCAAATTTGAAAATAGCCAAAAGTTGTGTAATTTAGTCTTACACAAAATACTAAAAAATGGTAATATTTGTTCATTTCTTGTTCTAGATATTCATGGTCAAAGGGTAAAAAAGTGGTATTTCGAGCCATTTTTATAGAATAGCAACTTCTCCAATCCTGTGCCACACGTTATGAAATTAATCTATTAAGGTCGCAGGTCACCAGGGTCAATGACCTTTTGTGACCTGGTCACCATGGACGGAGAGAAGGATTGGATCACTTTTTGTCTGAACACATTTATCCAGAATCTAATAGGAGAAAAATTAATAGAAAATTATAAAATATTAAAAATTTCACAGTTTCCAGCGTTTTTATTAAATAATGAAATAATCTCGATTAATTCTTTTCAGTGTTTTTAAAGCGTTTGAACTTTGGCATTTGATTGATTGCAACAGGCGATTGCAACAGACTCAGCAAGTGCAGCAGCGGCCATTCATTAAAGCGCGCGGCCTAATTAATAAAACAAGCAGAGCGATTTGTGTACATTTGCGGTTGCGAATCCTCGGGCGATTAGCACAATCGGATTAGCCCGGCTGCGAGATTGATTTGTCTGCAGTTTCCACCTGCATAAATCCGCCCTGCCGACGTGTTTGTAAATTCAGAGTGCATTTCCTCGAATCTCTACGTTTTCACCTCTGTCTCTCTCTCTCTCGCAAGTGTTAATCACTTTGACTTGTGCACAAGTTGGGAATTAGATTTGCCGACGGCTCGTTCAAGACTCGGATCAAAGTTCATTTGCCATTCGCTCTCTGAAAGTTGCGCCTCACGTTCCACGGCGCTTCTTTTCATGCAAACTATTTGCATGTGAAATCAAATTTTGCATTTAATTACAATTTTGAGGAATTTGGAAAATTTACCAAACGCTTAAATTTCATTGTCTTATTGTTAGTACAAACAAAATGTTATGTGGTTGAAATTTTTCTTCTTGTGCAAGAAAATAACTAGGTATTTTTACCACTTTTGTTCATAAAAACACAGAAATTGAAACAAAAGGTGAATTGATTTAATTATAAATTTTTATAAATTTATTCAAGCTTTTAATTTCAAATTGAATTGAAAAGGCGCAATTGTGAATGAACGCAACCGGCTCGACGCCGCTGAGAAGCGGGTGGCCAACTTCTGTAAATGTGGGTGTCTCACGGAATTGGATGAAAGTTTTACTCACTGAGGGCGGTGAGGTTGACGAACTGCACGACGGCGCATCCCTCGCGAACTTCGAGGAAAGTGATTTCGCACTTGTAGACGGCCTCGTCCGCCAACTGCAGCTGCCGAATCTCCAGGTGCGATCGCGACATGTTGGTTGTGTAGTGCAGCTCGGCCCTGCGACAAAAAGAGACAAAATAATTTTATAAGTAAATCTCATTCCTTTCTTCCTTTAAAACAAATTAATTAAATTACAAACACGGCTTCTAAATTGGAAAAAAAAAATGACAACGAATCTTACAAATTAAATTTAAAGCACGAAACCTGTAAATTTCTTTTTGATGAAAAAGTTCCAAAAGAAATAATCTATTTTGAATTTCTGCTTGATGATTCTTAACACTTTCATAATTTTTAAACCAATAGAAAAAAGTGATGAATGTTCACTTGTAATAATTTCTGCAAAGGTGCACATCAAAAATTTAATCTCTAAAACTGATACTAAATTTATTCTCCGCCTTTATTTTCACTTTTCTACGCAATTTCCATGCACAGAGAAAAAGCTCGACTGGAGCTAATTAGAGGCTGCGAGAGAGAGAAACAGAGCGAATTAAGGCTTTGTGAATTAATTGAGGCAATTCAGAATTATTTTTCCATCTCTTGAATAGGCCCACGTGTTTTCCTCTGAACACATAATAAAAAAAACGAACAAAGAATTCGGCTTTTATACAAAACAGGCGCGCTCGCTCTTTGCGAAGTAATTTCATTGTTTAATTAAAATATATATATTTGCACGCACACGTGGAAAAAAATGAGCTGCTTTTGCAAGAGGTCAGCACTCGAGCAAATTACTTTTGTGCCAGACCTGGCAACTAGAAGGTCTGCTCGCTTTGCGAACTTCAAGTTGCAGCGCAATTTTTATTCTTTTTTTCACTCACATCACAACAATGAGCAAATTCCACCAAGTTTGTTATCTCAAAAATTTCTTTCAATGCTAATTTATATATAATATATTCCATAATACACAAAGTTATAACACATTTTTAATTTTTAATCATTTTTATTTCTTATTGAAAATGAAAAATAAGTTTTTAGAAAAATAATCTTAAATTCAGGAATTTATACAAGCAGGAGAGAAAGAAAAAGTATATTTTTTTCCAAAAACTATGCATTTCAAAAGCAAATTTCAGCTGAAAATGGCTCAACTTCCACAGATAGAATTCATATACAGAATTTTTCTATCAGTGTATGTATGAAAAAGGGCAGTAAAAGCACAATGAAACTGAAATTTACCAATTTCATATTAACTATAGTTGCTTAAAATCACATATTTGGATAAATATTTAACCAAAATTTAAAATTAAGCCACTAATGAAAAAAATTAATTAAATCTATTACACTGATAAAAAATTTTCCGAATAAACTGTCAATCATGTATCATAATTTTATCATTTGGCTGCAAATCCAGGTGATGAACATATATGTGGGTCCGTAATTAGCAATCGGAAACCGGCGGGGCTGCAACAAAGGGACAAAAATCGAAGCAGGTCTCGTGTGTGTGTGTTTGGATAGTGTAGTGCGGTGGGCGTTGTTAATTCTTGCACGTCGGGACAATGGCGTCAATCAGCGGGCGGCCGATGCATTCCATTCACCCGACACTAATGAGCATCGCTGCTGCAGCCCCGCCGCGCTATCTCGCCCGTCCGTCCGTCCGCCATTATAATTGTTGTCGGCCCACACAACAATGCGCCAGGAAAATGATCTATGCGCGACACATAAATGGCCCCCGCACCGAAACGGCGTAATTAAATTTATTTGTCGCCGATTACGTTGGATTGCGCTTTCGATTTTGCGGCTTGTCCGAGGCCGCAGCCATTAATTATGCACAACACGTGCGCGCCCCCCTCTTTTTTCCCGGGCCAAATTTGATTAATTGACTTTTGACATGCTGCACGGAAAATGCTGTTAAATGCTCGACTTCACACGCCATCCACGAATGGTTTATTTTTCCACCTCTGCCACCGAAAAGGGCAAAAAAGAAAACATTCATTACAATTATACAAAATATAATATGAATTTATTACTTTGAATCTGAAAAAAATCCTTTTAAATGAGATGAAAAGGAGAATTATAAATTTAAGGAGGAAAAATAGTAACAAATTTTAAAATTAGTAAAATTTTATCTCTCAACAATAATTTCAAGGAAATTTGATCTGCAATTCTAACAATAATTTTAAATGAAAGCTAAAATTTAGCTAAAAATTTCCATCAATTTTCCACATGCAAATAAGAACAAAATTAAAAATGGAAGGTTTCTTCTTGTTTCCTTAAGAGACTGACATATTTATATACGCAAGATTTATTAAAAAAATTTAATATGTTGGGACGTTGGTTGAAAAAAAGGGTGTCGCGCGTGATGTTTAACGAAGCGGAGTGCAAAAAATTGAGTGCGAAATGATTTGGGAGAGCGATTGCTCGCGTGTCGCATTACCATCCATCGTGGCGCAAAAACGACCGCAAGAACAAAACTCGGACAAGCGGCGGCGGCGGCGGAAAGGTGACAAAGACAAAGAAGGGGTCGTTGCCAACTCCGCTGGGCCCAGTGTTCTAAAATAGGCCCATCCATCAGCGTGTCGAGTGCGGAACAGACAAACACAGAAAACGGCCGGGTGCGGAAATACCCACCGCGCTTTTCCACTGCATAAGCATTTCTATACTTCATATATGTGCCAAATACATGGTGTGTGACCCCTGTCTTGATAGCACCTGCAGACGCAGAGTTGAAAATACCAAACAAATGGTGATATTTTGAATTGAATTTTAAAAAGATATAAGTGAGATCAAAATCAAGATTTAATTTAGTTTAATAAATTTTGATGATTAATAAGAAGTATTTTATCATCAAGTTGGTGTGTTTACTTTGCTTAGTTAGAAGTGCTTTAAAATTTTTGAACATTTCTTTCAAATTTCAAATAATTGACTTACAAAAAATGCTCGTTAAAGAGAGACGAAGATAAATTTTTTTATTCCCATGTGTGGAAAAAGACCAAATTTCATGACCAACGTTGAAATCGCCATAAAAAATTGATGCAAAATCACTAAATTAGAAGATTAAAAATAGTCAATATTCTTAATTATTCTTAATTATGAGGTTCAAATGCTTTTGGCGCCAAAACGTGATGAATGGTTTTAAACGCTGAATGATGTGAAGTTTTCAGTCGCGATTTCGACGTTGGTCATAAATTTTGGCCTTCTTTCACATTCAGAAATAAAAAAAATCCAGTATCTCTCTTTTCAAATAAGAAATTTTGGAAGGAAAAGAGTAAAGGCAAATTCAAAATTCATCTTCCCTGTGTAATAAGCAAGTTGAAGGAGCATATCATAATGGAAATTCCTTTGGAACAAAGTTTCAATAACATCTCATTTATTCAAAGTGCAATAAAAAAAGTGTGTGCTTATGAAAAAATAAAAATTGGCGCGCGTCGGGCTGAAATTTAATTATATTGCGAGTGAAAAATTTCGTCTGGCGCGGCGGATAAGCCGAGCCGAGCCGGCCACATGTGCAGCAAAGAGGCTGGCTGACAGGGTGTTTGGCCGTTCTTGCTTGCTCTGCTCCGGCCCTCCCTCTCTCTCTCTCTCTATTGCGTTTCCATCAATGTCCGCAACAGAAGCACCGTCTCTACACCTTTATCAATTTCATTCTGCGCTGACGTTTAGTTACGAGCGGAGGAAACGGACTGGCCTTTCGCTATTGATGGAATTCGCGCGCAGAGGCAATTCCAAAGCCGAATGCATTTTACTGATCGCAAAGGCGAGCAAAAGGCCCTTTCACTGCCAAATCACACGTCAAAGGCAAGCAAATGCGAAAACCTAGAGATACATTTAATTGAAATTTCCATTACGTCTGTGCAGAAATCAATGAAAGTGGAGAAAAAATTTTACTCTTTGAAAATCATTAATTTGGTGAAAATTTCTTAATCCAAGATGGCTTCCGCATTAACATTGCTAATAACTTGCATCCCGGGTTACAAAAAGTTAAAAAATTGACATTTTCTTATAGGAGATGGGAATCATTACGATCTAAGTCAAAACGTCCCAAAATTATCTCTCATTCGGGAAAAGTTGTTGCCCTCTTTAAAAAGAAAATTATTGTTCAGTTACTCATTTTTACAAATTCTCTAAAAATCCTAAAAATAAATAAAATTTTGATTATTTCAAATCAATTTTGCTCTAAATTTCATGACTTTCAAAGGAACAGAGAAATAAACAACTTTTTCTTTTTATTTTAATCAAAATAACAATTTTAAAAGATCTTGTTCAAAATGAACTTTATTGACAAACTAAATAAATTGAAGTTTGGTCCAAAATCCGTTTTTTAAACCCAAGTTATTGTTTCCAAATGGAATTGAATGATTTGAAATTGAGTTTGTTTGATGAAAATTCCAGTCCGTGTCTGCTTTTCTACGATTGTGCCGAGGAATATCTCTGACAATTTATATATATTTTTATTCCCGAAGAATTCCGTGTCATCTCCCCTCGCACGTCGGAGGTGAGAAATGGCTCGCCATTAATCCGAAAAGACAATTCCACGCCATAGACTCGAGAGAGATAAATTTTTGCATTTCCGAACTTGCCTCCTTTTCCGGCGGCGGGCGAACATCAAAGGTGGGCGAAGAAAAAAGCGGATCTCTCGTCATCAGCAAACTCGTTAATAATTCAATTAAAACGATCTCTCCTGATGTTGGCTGTGCACGGACGGCCTATTAACTTTGAGCCCTCACAAAGTTACCCAACTTTCTTCAAAGCATCTTTGAATGTAATTAGCGATTGACTTTTAACGAGAGTCGCAGGAAATTGGCGAAACGCATTTGCGACATCAGATCACTCCGCCGCGATTATACACTAAAGTTATTTTCACAGAGAGAGAAACAGAAAAACCACAGCTACTTTGCATAAAATTACACACGCCGAGTGGCAAAAGTAAATTGTCTCTTTAATTTTATTAGGCGTGTGTTAAAATGCAAATAGGACGCGCTAACGTGCTTTTGTGGGGGCGTTTTGCACCAAGTACTGCACTTCAGAGCTGTGTGGATGAATTCAATTTTACACACCAACGGCGTGAAAAAACAAAGCGAATCTGACAGAGTTTTGTGCTTACTTTTGAATGGAAAATGCAGGAA